TATTTATTCATGTGGCAGCTTAACATCCTAATTCAATTCAATTCAATTCATGTTTATTTACGTACAACTTAACAGCACAGAGGCAAATTAACGATTAGGGGACGGGCCATTTAAATTCCGTCAGTGGCAGTGGGACGGAGTTAATTTAAATGCCCGCCAATGTAGAGTAATAAAAATTGTAATCATGTTACTCAAAATGCTGTGATTTCTACAATTTTTGTGATAAATGAACGAAATAAACAATACTTTTATCTAGAAAGTATATAGAATCAGATACTGTAATTTACAGATTTTAGAATCTATAAAAATTGTTACAGATTCCAAAAAAAAAATTCCCCCAATTTTGAGAGTCTGTCCACAAAACTGCATAAAGCTTCTGCACAATACGTTTCTGCAGTATAAATGCATGGTGCTGACGCACTGTCTGTTTCTTATCTGGCAATAGAAGATGTTTACGTACTGCACATTCTGCCATCACGTAGGCTTCCTCTATACCCGAGTGTGGGCAAGTTCTTATCCTACATTGCCTTATGAATCTGTTTGTTTATTCACGTATGTCGGATTATCCACACAGAGGCAGTTCTTGGAATATCACCTCAATCCACTTGCTTCCACGCCCCTTCAGAATAAACTGTAACGCATTCTGAATGGTGTGATTTACGAGCCACCTCTCAATTTCGACTTCTTCAATGCGAAAAGGGGCCATGGGGCATAGTTGAAATTGCGATGTTTTATAAGCGTTATGAATAGAGGACACCACTCGCCATCACTGGCTTACTTCCTGCTAATACAAGACTAAAATTGCGTGTGTGCGCTTCGCGTGGAAAACAGAGTTAATTACGGACAAAGTGCATGAATTGCAACGTCGGGCTCTGCATTCAGTGACATGCAACATTCAGTTAGATGATGCAGGAGGGAAGACAGTCTACTTATAAAGCTGGTGTCCAAAAATAATGTAAGTAGAACAAGAATTTCTATCTTAAAATTAGATTTTAAAACACTGTGCGCATGCGCGGCCTGCGAGTCACCATACGGTGTCTTTCGGCCTTTTCGGCATAATTTAAAGGTCCCCATGCGGTGTCTTTCGGCTCATAAAGGTTAAGTTTCATGAAGTTAGTAGTGAACCAGTCACTTATGGAATTAATGTCAGACTGAAGTAAGAGGCAATCATGTGGAGAGTTAATAATGAGGAGAATTTTTAGATCATGGGCAAAAATTAGAAATTTACAGTAGTTAATGGAGTCTCATAGGTCATTTATAAATACGCTGAAAAGAAAAGACCCCAGAACAGAGCCTTGCAGCATACTAGACATTACATGAAAAGGCAGGGAGAGTGTGCCAGAAACGCGAACCCAAGATTGTCTGTTGGCTAAGTAACTGCCAAACCAGCTAACATAAGCATCAGAGAATCTGAAGGAGCTTAATTTATGCAAGAGCATTATGAGGGACGAGGTCAAAAGCATTTGAAAGATCAAACTAGATGGCGTCAGCTTGACGTTGACCGCGGACAACAGGCATCAAGAAGTCGAGAAATGTCACCAAACTGGGAACTGTAGATTTAGTTCTGGTAAAGCCATGCTGGTTTGCATTAAATTTAGCGAAATGAGAAACATGATCATGAATAATTCAATTCGTGTTTATTTACATGCAAACTTAACAGAGGCCAATTTCAAAGCTAGCAAGAATAGAGAGAAATGCACAAAAATAATAATAATAAAAAAAATACAAAATATGATAGTCTATATTAATTACACAGTGAGCATGAATAAAGATACAGAAACAAACACACACAGACAAAGCCACAATGTGAGAATTTGAGTTTCAAACAGAGCAGCATATAATAATAATAATGAAATTAATAAAAATAATGATAATAATAATAATGGTTTAATTAATTCAGTATAAGATATGTTTCATCAACAGAGTTTCTGGTCCAAATACGTCAATGTCCCTACAAACAACATTAGCAGCAGAAGCGCATCTAGCAGAGGGGCAATTTTTACTAACAGAACAGACATTGAACATAGGAAAGTCTCGGATATATCGAACAGGGACCCAAAGGATAATATTAATGAAATAAAATGTAAACATATGAAAGAGAGACATAAAACCAATCTGGAAATAAAGAAACTGTGCTGTGTTACAAAGCACAATAGATTCATGTAGGGTATCAATAAGGCAGATCAATGGGTCAATTATGACTCAATGCTGAGGAAACCTGTGAAGTGGATCAAAGACGTGATATCATTTCTTGTAACCTGTGCGCTGTTGCATACATTCCTAGTGTACAAGACCAGGAACAAAAACCAGAACACAAAATTCTGCAAGGGTCACAGAGGTCTTGCATATCAAAATCAAAGAATCCAACTAAGTGCAATGATCAGAAGGGGGACCGCTGTACCAAGGAGGCCTAAACAGCACCCCTTAAACAGATAATGTGTGAATGTGGGGAAATATAATTTGGGGAAAAGTGCTATTGCTTGGAAGTGAAAGAAGCATCTTGGAAGACAGTGTCAAGTTTGTGCCACACACACAAAGTGCAGTGAAACAAGCTACATTTGTGAACTATGTTATTCTGCTTCACAAAGATTCCTGCTCTGAGAGATTTCACTCTGTGAAGCACTATTACAACTACTGCAAAGTTTCTTCTTTCAGTACTGGGTCAAGGAATGTAATCTACAACTTCAAAATATAAGAAAGGATGTATTTGACAGGAGAATGATGAAATGCTTGTAAAATATCTGGGAACTGGGAGCATTTAATTAAAAGGACACAAAAACCTCAATGTGTTAAAATTCATACACTGATATTATGAACTGCATGATTTTCATAAATCTGGTATAAACAGCATGCCACTGCAGGGCAAATAATTTTGGTAGATCTACTCTGAACTTCATGTTATCAATATCAGAACAGAATATTAGGGCTTAAGAATCAGTGATTCTAATGCTGTTATGAATAAATAATAAACAAATATAGTCAATATTCAGAACAGGCCTATTTGGACAATGAATAAGAGGGGAAAAAAATAATTTTTAATATTTAAATCACCATTCACTTTGTACATTTAACATTAGATGAAGTTACTTTTAAATTCAATATCATAATTTAAACAATGAAAAAACAAGACTGAATTACAGTTAAAGTACTACTTGGTATTTCATGATAATAATTTTTCACTTTATAAACCTTTGGGTAATGCCCCTAACTTGCCTTTCAAGCTTATTTTCTTCCTATTAAATACTTTATGTCATAATCAGAATACCTGAGATCTAATCATTCAGAATTCCAAAAATACAGATGCCTTCTACTCACCTGAATGGGACCATATATGCCAACATGTGGCAGAACAGGATGCTTCAGCTGTGTTATTAGCTTTCGAATGAAGCACAGAGTGAACTGCCTCATGCCCGGAGGACAGTCACTGCATGCAAACACTGACAGCAGATCCAACAGATGATGCTGCAACAGATACTCCAGACAGGGACCAGCAATACCACTCTCCTGACTGGCTTCTTCTTCCAACAATATCTGCAAGAAATATGTTTGCTAAATGCTATCAGGGGGCTGCAGGGTTCCAGGAATAATGTACTGTTACTGCCTCATATCTTTAGCCACGGTAGAGGGGTCATACCATCTCTCGTGGAGTGGGGGGGAACAGTCTTATCAGCCTACATCTGCGTGGGTACTACCAGTTTGGAATGTAGCGTCTTGGAGTGTGGTCAGGTGTATAGTACTACTCCTGGTCTCCGTAGGCAATGTTTTCCGCTCGGGGGAGTAGCTCTGAATGGCTCCACAGCAAGGGTATAGCTTCGCGTGCCCCACAACAGCGTTTGCCTTTCCGGGCAGCTAAAGTTACCAGGCAGTAACAGTAAAGGTTGTCCCTTTCAGTAGCTATGGCAGCAGTCAGATTCCTTCCAGTTCTCAAAATGCATTATTTTTCAAGTAATGGGGAACAAACAGAAGCACACGGACTTCAAAAGGTGCAAGCCATTTTCAACAAGTTCCTGCCTGTATTTCATGATAGTTTCATTCCTTCTCAAGATCACTCTGTTGAAGAAAGTTCACCACTCTTCAAAGGAAGGTCAAATTAAAAAAAAAATATATGCAAATAAAGCTCTTCCTCTTATATGATGCTAAATATGTCGAACTTTCATGTATATAAAGAGAAAGACACCAAAACTGAACTGAATTCTGGTACAGGGATGTCAGATTCCATTCCTACAAACCTTATTAATGAGAAGACTTGAGCCCCTATACACTGAGTTTGGTGCACACCACGTAATGTGGGATATGAAACTGGTCACAGCAGTCCTGGTAATAACGGAACAGCCTGCTGCAGCAAGTGTTGTCACCAAAAAGAGGTGAATTGTCATAGCAACATGAGTACATTAGTGGAATGGATGGTACAATACTTGTGACACCCAACATGACAGGTAGTGGGCAAGTGATGTGCTACATTCACTCAAGCGGCCTCGGTAGTCTAGGGGTAACGTTCCCACCTCATGACTCAAGGTACGTGGGTTCAAACCCGGCGGAGGATGTGGAATTTTTAAGGGCGGAAAAATTCAGGGAACAAGTCCTCCGGGAGGGACTTTAAGCCGTGGGTCCCGTGTCGTAGCTTTACGGCATGTAAAAGAACCTCATGTCTCAAGAAGGCCTCTGAGCCAAATGTATAAGGACATTTCCTGCCCAACAATAGTCTCTAACGCCTCTGGTAGATGGGGGAAGCATCTAGATACCGCTGAGCCAGTAGAGGCCGAACTTGCTGGCTGAGTCGGGACTGATGGCATGCACCAGTACCGGTAGGGAATAGAGACTGCTAGAATATCACAGGGGGGCATACAATAGACCACTGGTCGCGGTGCATGGGGAAACCCACCCCCTCCAATAATAATAATAAAAAATACATTCACTAGGACCCTGGTCTCAGTGCCAATTTTCAGTACGCAGATCAAATTCGTCACCATTGCTAAAGGTTACTCTTTGGAAATGTGTGTTTTACCTACTGATGACCACACTGAATGGATGTATAAAAGATGAATGATAGATGGGAAAGGATTTGGAAAGATGAAGTCATGACCTAATCAAGATACTATTCAGGCATGTGCCAAGAGGCACTCAGGAGAACCATGAAAAGCTTCAAATGGAACAGATGAGATTCAAATTAAGCAGTTCATGAACATACATTTACAGCAATACTGCTACATAATCTACTCACTCATTTTGTAAATGATATCATCAGCCACCGCCCCCAATGTGGTTTCGAGCCCACATTAATATTTTGCAGTACTTGGAATAAAACACACAAATTTTCATAGCTGAATTTAACGAGCAGTACATGTATGATATTTAAATTAACAAAGCTGGAAGTTTCAGGATACACTGCATTCAATACTGCAGCTAAGGGTCAAGCTGCACATTCCCTGCACCAAAAATCACACCTGCCCTTGCCTCTCATATGAACTGTGCCTTATAGGCACCTCACCTCAGAAATAGGACTGCTTCACTTACTCAGGCTGGCAAATACAAAGCAGGTCATTAATACCATAATTGGAGACATTAATGAAAGAGAATGTCTCAGTTCTTCTGTAGATCATAAAATTTTGTAGTTTCCAAGAAACACAGACTTGGCTGAGATTGATGTCTGCAGTTTTCCAGCGTACCTTCAACATTTGGTCCAAATGTGCTGGGATATTTGTATTTTCAACAATAGTTCTGCTCACTGCATCTCTCTTTATATAGAACTTCATCATCATCTTCCAATGATATGTGAAATCTTCTAACTGTGGCACTGGCGGGGCCAGCTGAAAGTTAATACACAGAATATTCTATTAATCTTTATGTAACAGAGTTCAATGGACATAATCAATTCTCTAGTTAATCAATTAGCTTTAAACTTTAACAAGACACATTATATTCACTTTGTAACTAAGAAAAATATATTTGCCAATTTAAAGATAGGTTATAACAACAATTTTGTAACTAGTACTTCCTGTACAAAATTCCTAGGGATGATAATGAATGAAACTTTATCTTGGGATAATGATACTGAAGCACTTGCAAAAAAATTGAGCAAGGCTTGTTATATAATTAGATGCACCAAAACATACACGACTACCTCATCATTGAAAATAATTTATTATGCTTTCTTGATGAGCTACAGAATCATATTTTGGAGTAATTCCCCACAAAGCACCACAATTTTTTGCTTACGGAAAAAAGAAATTAGAATTATAGAAGGATGTGGGAATAGGGTTTCGTGTAGACTTATTTAAGAAACTACATATTTTTCCTCTGACATCTCAATATTTATTGTCCTTATTGATGTTTGTAGTTCAACATAAAGACCTTTTTATAGCAAGCATTAAAAGTCACAACCTAGAAACTAGGCAAAGTAATAATTTATATATTCCACAGGCAAATTTATCCATTTATCAAAAAGGAGCCTATTATTTGAAGATAAAAATCTTTAACCAGTTACCCTCTCATATCAAGAATGTTAATGGTAACATAGCTAAATTCAAAACCACTTTAAAAAAAATTATAGACGAATTCATTCTACTCATTAGAAGTTTTTCTTTTTCCCCTTGGCACTACAGCCCCAGTGGGCCTAGGCCTACCTCCATGAACTTCTCCGCATTAGAAGAGTACTTTGATCAATAATGAGAGTAGTTATAATAAATATATATAAATTTTATGGCTCACTTGTGTATTATATTTGTAATTTATGATTTTTTGTTCATTGTAAACTCATTTTATAACGCCTGTTATGAGTTCTACCTGTGCACTGCCAATTAATCTTATTTTCAGTAATCTGAAGGATTTATTTACTATTTGTAACTCATAATTATTTGTTTATTGTGGATTTCTTATTTAATATGACTGTTCTTATGTGACATGTTTCTGACTATTTATTTATGTAATCTAAGGCCTTAACTGTTGTACATTTTATATTGTTGTCATGTTCCATGTAAACAACTTTTGTAATTGGTCTGTATGTACTGAGTGAGGACAAGTTCTGTATCCATCTTGTGGATGTCTGGAATACTGACTAAATACTAATACTAGCTTATTTACATCAACAACATGAATTAAAAAATCCCTAGTATTGAGTCACTTTCATGTCTGGATCCTGCATTACTGCATCTAGGGTTGTTCTCAACAAAGTGAATCAAGTTTTCCCAGCCATGAGAACATGCAAATGGTAGATAAACATGCTTTATGCAATGAATGAGTAGACAGACTGTCAGCTGTTTTTCTGCACAATGTTTCTGTTATTGTTTCTCTTGTACAGCCATCACTGCATGTATAGACAACTCACTAACATGTACCAGTTCTCTTTGTGTTTCTGTACTTGTAAGATCATTCAGACACCTGTTTCAAGTTCTCATTTACAATACCGAATTCAGAGAACTAACATGGTGAAACATTCACCTGATCAGCAGATTTTTCTGCACAGACTTAAGCAAAAAATTAATTGTATCTACTACCATACAAATTAAAGAGGTCCAAGCAATTGATGGAGGCAATTACAAAGGAGGAATGCACATTTATCACTGGCTTTTTTCAGCAGCACAGATGTTGCTCTTGGCTTAAAACTTATATTTGTTTGCTGATGAAGAAGCTTGGTTCCATCTAAGTGGATATGTCAATGCTCAACAATAGTAAAGCAAATAGACTTTAAAGGATTCTGACAATGGTGTATGCTGTATAGAACTATAAGGACTATAAGGAACTATAAGAACTATATAAGGTATATAAGACATATACCAGACGATGGATAGAGTCCAAAATAAACCTTATAGTTCTATAAATAGTAAAGCAGTATTAATCGAAGATAGAATTCAGAAGGACCCTTTCACAATATGAAGACTGGTGTCCAATATGCCATTACAAAAATAGTAGGACCCATATTTTTAACACATTATTAATTCAGTGGTTATGTTAGTGATATTTTTCAGCCCCTTTTTGAAATCAGTATGGAAGAAGAAAAGGTCACAATTAAATAAGCAATAACAGAAAACATATAGAAAAGGGTGCACATTCTGTGATACACAGAATATTCACCTATTATAATCATCCACACCATCACTGCTGTCATCACCACATGACTTAATTAGGCACTCACTTCATATAAACTAAGGTAACACAACACACGCCTCTTTTATGTTGCCCAGAACATTTACGGGCATACATCACTTGTAATTGGAACCTGTTACTCTACAAAACTGTGTATACTACTGCCACCGGGCTAAAACCCAATTGCAGAATAATAAATAATATATATATATATATAATTAAAATAGTTAATTACTGGTAGAAAAAAAAAGGTAAAACTGTTCCTGTAACAGGTTGTAGAGGCCCACGGGGTTGCGAGACACAGCACCTCCATATTTTCTTTTGTGCCGACTGCCATTTACCCTCAGGAAGATTTCTGGTACTCATTTCTGTCAGAGGCTGAGTCGACTCCAGAGCAATGGTGCAGCTGGAAGGATTAGGTCAACTCAAAAACTGACCTCACATCAGGAATTGAACCCATGACCTTCTGGCCTCTAGCACAGCACCTGAATCAAGCATGATACTGCACACCTCCCATTAATCGCCAGTATAGTTCCTATCTATTTAATGTGTACAGCTATGATTTTATATGTAGGATCTGAAGTTCTCAGAGCAGAATGCTATCCTCTAGGGCAGTGTTTCTCAACTGACAGACCACACCCCGGTACTGGGCCTTGGCATCAATTATACTGGGTCCTCTTCTTAAACAAAAAAGAATTTACTGGGCTGCAGTGTGACAAAGGTTGAGAACCACTGCTCTAGGGTATAATGCTGTGTGGTTTGTTGACATTCAACCAATGTTTTGGAGGAACATGTCGTCTCCACCTTCTGTTCTGCTTGCCACATGTTTTCACACTTGTTTGTTGCTCAGCTTATTATTCGACCCTGAAGACGGAGGCAACATGTTCCACCGAAAGGTCGGTTGACTTCCAATGGACTTCACCGCGTTATATCCCAGAGGCAAGAACTCTTCAACTAAGATTATTGCCTGTATGTTTACTCGCTTACATGATAGAATGAAATATTATCAACTTCTGACTCATCGATTGGACATCAAATTGCTAAGCCTCAACGATGCACTATCTTTGCATTATAATATTAAATGCATAATAAAAATCAAATGACGTCAGGATCCAATTACCGGCTTTTCAGTACAGTATCGAAACAACGAACAGTTTACATGTTAACATACAAAGTAGAAATACAACTAATGCGTAATAAAAATGACTCACGGCATCCACAGCATTTTGAACGACGGTGGAAAATCTGCTAAACATACCGGATCCCTTCGCCTTCAAAATTGACCATTCGATATTAATAACAGAGAAAAGGCAACTTCTGCAATACACAAATTGGCGGTTTCACTGTCCATTTTAGTATCTCAAAATAATAACAAAACACAAACATCTAAACGATCTAAACACCCTACCATTTCTAATACGCATTAAGTATTGGTGATCAAAACACCACGGTTAGAACATGACCACGGATCATTAAATAATGGTCAGGACCGGTCAGGACGGCCATAACATCAGTATATTGCATTACAGACATGGCAAATATTGAGACCTAGGTACTGGTACACTTGTTAGAAATATGATGCTATATCACTAGGATTCTTGTAAGTCAATTCATTTGCCACACACAAAGCATCGTGTGTGATAAAATAAAGTTTCAAGGTTATGAAAGATTCTGAATTCTATTACAACAGGAACGCCGAGAATTCTGTTAGAGAGCTGAAGAAACATTTCTTGCTGTGACAGAAAGGATGGTGAGTTTTTTTGTGCCTGTGTGCACAGACAAGAATTTTATTGTCATGAGTCAATTCTCAAATCTTAAGAAACTAAACTTTTTTGCCAAGCTTGTGTTAGTTTTCATAATCCATCCAGCGAGTTTACATGGTTCATCATATTATGACACTTTGCATTATTATGTGGGAGAGGGATCAATTCAAGGAGAGCGATATGGGTAGGTCATACAGCAGACATGTGAGAATGAGAAATGCATACAAAGATTTTGACAGAAGACCTGAAAGAATGAGACCACTTGGGAGACAATTGTGGGGATGGATTTTTTAAAGGTACAGTTATGGGAGTTTTGGAATGGGTTTGTTTGTGTCAGGATGCAAAGTCATGATGGGCATGTGTGAACACAGTAATACATACATACATATCCTTTATTTTCCATAAATATCCATACAGGCAGCAGACCCAGGATGTGGAAATAGTCATATCAAATACATACATAGTCACATAATTCACATAATGAAGATCACCCACATTAACTAATTAACACATACAATAATATTAGGTGAAAATATAATATCTTGATTAACAGACATTATTTAAAAGTAACTACAACACAACTTGAATTAATATAACTCTTCACATCTCCTATACTAACTATATTAAAATACGGCTTTAAAGCATTCAAATTTATGTACATTTATAATTAAAATACTCATTTAATGCATAAAGAGGTAGCATGTAAAAATCTTTTTAGGGAACGTTCAAAGGATTTCTGGTTATTGGATACTTGTTTGAGCTCTTTAGGCAGATGATTGTAGATTTTTATACCCAAATAATATGCACCCTTCTGAACTTTAGCAAGTGAAGTGCTCGGTGGAAATAGGTTAATATTCTGTGTGGTACCAATATTATGTACCTCCATATTTCTTGTAAACAGATGTATGTTATTTATAGTATGTTGCATCAAGGAATATATGTATTGAGAACACAAAGGCAGAATTTCCATTTCCTTGAAAGTATCTGTACATGAATATCTTTTCTTTAATCCCATCATAATCCTTATAACATTCTTTTGGATCATAAAAAGTTTTGTCATGTATGAAGAATTGCCCCAGAAGATAATTCCATATGTCATCACAGAATGTATATAAGCAGAATAAATCATTCTTAAGCTACTTAATGATATCATAGGCCTAACTGTTCTCATAATAAAGCAAGACGAACTCAATTTAGTAACAAGGTAATCAATATGATTCTTCCAACAGCCTATCAATATTTAGGCCTAAAAATTTGATACACTCTAAGTTAGTAAATTTTGATCAATTTTGATCAGGAAAGATTTAGTTAAGGCACCAAACTTGCCAGTTATTCCATAAAACTCTAATTTTTTGATAAGTATATCATGATTGACACAGTCAGAGGCTTTGTGTAAGCTGCATAATATTCCTCCAACAAACTGTTTATTATTCATTGCTTTTAGTATTTCCTCTACTAATTTGAAGGATGCTTTTTCTGTAGATGAATTAGGTCTAAAACCATATTGATTATTGTCCAATATATGATTACTGTCAATATATTCATACAATTTATTATATATAACCCTTTCAAAAACCTTAGAAAAGGCTGACAATAAT